TTTTTATTAAGTATAAAAGGTAGGACTTCAGTGGTTGCAAGTGAAAACAGTCAGATCAAAGTAAATTACTAAATTAAAATAAACAAAAATGCCAGATAACCCTAATCCACTAAGAAACTTGTTACATGCAAATTCTTACCATAAACAGTTGATCTAATAATCTCTTTCACAAGCTAAGAAGCCTTCTAGCTTGGGCCCAATCCTTCCCCTGTTGAGTCTTAGATGCTTCTAGCAGACATCTTAGGTGGTAAGAGCAGAGGAGAGGGGAGGGTCTCCTGGTGCCTGTCCCTATTGTTTAGATATAAGCAGGAGGGGAGAAATTGTTTGGATATAAGGAGGGAGGAGAGCGGTGAACGCTTTTGCCCAAGGCATGAATTCTTTGTGCTCAATTCAAAATTTTCTTACCTTGAGTGAAAAAGCATAAGATCCAAAATGGGTTTAGGCATGAGTTAGCCTGACCACATGTCTTTCTAATACCAGCCACAGTTTGGGATTACAGGACAAACAAGACTATTTACAGATCATTGGTTGGAGTACTGAGTCATTGAGCTTCTAAAGTATCCCTAATGGCCCATATTAGCATAGTTAGAATTAAAAATAGATTTACTCTTCATATGTCTAACTTCAAATACAAAAATGATACTTGCACAAAACTAGGATATGCAAATTCTGCAGATTACAACCTTTAAAATGACAGTCACATGATATGTTTTGCATAAAGTGTTCTTAAGTTATGCATTTTCATATTCATATGCCAATTTTAATAAAGTGGGGGTGGACTGTGACAGGCACCACCAGCAGTTCTGGAGCATCATGAACCAATGCCATCTTCTGTTTCTGATGCATCCCCAAATCTATGTCTCTGACCAGTCCCTGGTAATCAGCCTTGTGAGAGGAAATGAATTAACTTCCCCCTTGCTGGAAGGCCACAACCCAGCACTGCGGGGGTGGGATGCTTTTCTCCAATTGTTGTCCACTATTTCCAGTGACCCACACTCTGTGTGAATGGATAAAGTCACTGTGGGGGGACCCTGGCAGGAGCATAGGTCTCCTATGCAACACATTTCCACTGCATTACAGTGGATACAGAGTGAATGAAGCTGCACAGCTGTTCTGGTGGGTCTCACAGAAAGAAATAAAAAAATGAACTGGCTATAATGGGTGGCCTTGAGGGCAACTAGGCCTCATGGTTACAGCACATGGCTTTCTGCACAAATTAAACCTTTCCAGTCCTTTTATCCTTGTATGTTTCTCTTATTTTAATTCCCTCCAACTTGTTAACAGCTCAGTAGTACTGAGCTGTCCTGAACTGAACACATCCTCAAATTGTGGTCTCCTCAGTGTTGTAAAATCCTGGACTGTTTCCTATGTCTCTGAGGAGAGGCCTGTGCTTTTACAGTCTCAAAGTAAATTAGCTGGATGGTTTTTGTGGCTATATCAAATTGCAAAAAATATATTAAATCCACTGTGCTTTTTGGTGTTACTGCTTCCACTATTGCAGCCCAAACTATTCCTTCCCACTCCTCTACCCCTCTTTCAGTGGCTCATATGTTGCACCTACCATCCTTTCAGTCAAAATGGATTGGATATTACCAACAATCCCTCTAATCTTTTCCATCCATGTACAGAATAATTTTTATGTGCACGAAGGCATGTCTGAATGTGCACCATCAGTAGAAACAAAAAACCTGGCTGTGGGTGCTCTGCTAATCAGCTGGGTAACATTTGAATCTCTGCTGAGAGGCTGCATAGGTGCACAGCTTACAGGAAACACTGGATAGCACTCCTCTTTGGGGGGTGGGGGAGGGGCATCAATGCCACTTCATATATTTGAGCAAACTCTTCCCCTTTATAAAAAATACCACCCAAAATATCTTTTTCCACTCTCTCCCACCAAGCATTCCTACTCCACTGAATGTCAATGCCATTAAAAGGTGTATCTATGTATGGCCCCAAATGTTCAAACACCAGCCTGTGTGTTCTCTGTCTTTAACAGATTGTTTTGAGACTCACATAGCATGGGTAAGAGCATTGAAACTCTTCCTGAAGAATGGAAAGGGTGAATATTTCCCCACAAATGTTTTATCTCAGTTGTCAGGAATGCAGACAAGTTCCTCCAAGTTGAAAATGACGGGTGGGTGCACGGCTAAAAACTTGTTTGTGCTTTCTTAGGGGCCAGGTGAAGACTATGAAATTAACTCCTTGCGGTGTGAAGGACCATCACAGACCTCATTATCTTCTGCACTAAGTGAAAGTTGTATTGCTTCCACCTAGCCTTCTCTACCCTAAACACAAAGCTGCATGTGCACTTTGAAGAAAACCCACACCTTTACAAGAAACAAAACATTGCACTACACACACAGTGCTCCCTTTGGGGAGAGGATGAGGGGAAAAAAAAAGAACTACACATGGCAGATGTTAGTGTAACTGGCAAACTTTCCTAGCTGATACACTACTTTGTTGGAGTTAGCTAGTAAAAGGATCTGAGCCCTCACTCTCACTTCTTTTACCCAGAGGCCTCCTTGACCTTGAGAGCTCCTCTGCCATGCTCCTGTATGTCAGAGTCCTTGTAAGCGCAACAAGGCTGGGTCCAGGATTCCTGGGGGCTCCATCCCCAATTTTGACATAGTCACTTGGGATAAGGGTGAGGGTGTCCCCACTCTGGTGTGCTTTCTGCATACTGGACATTTCCTGACCCCGTGATCACTGCATACTGTTCAAAGCAAATGCGATTTATTAAACACCAATCAATTTAAAAAATATGGAAAAGGAAAAGATTAAAGGAAAATACATAACCCCACTCTACAGCATGGGGATATCACAAACAGCCATCTTTGGAATGTAAGGGAAGTTCACAGTCTGCTCCTCACACATCCCAGGTTTTCTTCTCAGATCCTGGCTGTGCTGCAGGGATGCTGTGGGTCAAACACTTGCTCTGGCAGTGGCCACATCCCTTCAGGCACTAGGTGGCAGGACTTCTTCCCAGAATCAGCCTCCGCTGTTGGGGTAAGGATCCCCTTTCAAATCTGTGAGGCCTCTTGGCTGGGGACATCTCCCTGTACTGGGCCAATTGCCTGGGGTCCCCCATCACCTTCCCCAGCTGCTCACTGCACCTAGTTCTAACTCCAGGCCTGGTACTGGCTGCTTCTCTGGCCCCTCTAGCTCTGGTTGCTGCAGCTCTTCTCACAGGTCTGCTCCCTGGGCTGCTTCTCTGGCTCTTGCTCTCCCTACCTTGGGCTGGTTCTCTCTGTCTCCAATTGACATAGCTTAGCTCCTCAGCTCAACTCTCTCTTTATCTGAGCACCATTCTGGCTCAGGCAGTTCCAGCTCACAAGGAGGATGGGATCCCTCCCCTTCTCCTGACTTGACTCCCTCATTAGCCTGTCTGCTAGATCAATCAGGCTGACCCGGACCACTGGCCTTTTCCTATTGCCTCTGGGGACTGTCAGTCTCAGGGTCTTCTTGATTTCCCAACAGCCCTTCCCCTTTCTTTTGGTACTGGAACTAGCCAGCCAAACTCTCCTCCTCTGCACACAAATTTTTAGTAAGGAGCCAAGAGTACCCGTACTTTAGACAGTATGTAGTGTTGTTGTAGGCATGTTGGTCCTGGAGTATTTGAGACATAAGGTGGGTGAGGTAATATCTTTTATGGGCTCAACTTCTGCTGGTGACAGAAAATTTCAAGTTAAAGCTCTTCTTCAGTTAGTCATATCCCTTCTTGCATTACTGAAAGCTTCTGGGATGCAGCAGGATGAGGGCACTGTAAAAAAATGTTATAGACTAGAACTAAATTCCATTCTATAGCAGAGGGACTCTGGCAGGATCAGGTAAAATGGCCAAATCATTAAAAGAGCAAAAGAAAGTATTTTCACAATACTTACCTATCATGGTGTTTGAGAGAGAATTGGTGGGTTTTTTTTTTTCATTTTTATCATTCCTCATAGGAAGACACAATTGTGTTTTATTTACATTATAGTGTTTTTTGGGTCCAGTCACTGGCAGGACTGAAGCACAGCAGCAATCTTATGTAAAGCTTCAGGGAAAAAATCAGGTTTCTCTTCTGCAACCAAAATAAAGACAGACTAGCAAAGTCTCTCCTCACACTCCTTTGTGCAGCTGAATAGCATTTGAACACCATGGCAATATAAAAACAGCAGCAGCTGTGTATCTAAAAAACCCTGCTTTCTTCTAGGCTAGTACCTTCTTCCCTCCTGAAAGCTCCACTTTTTGTAGATTGCTCTGCAAAGGTGCTGGTAGGAGGCTTTGGGCTTCAGTGAATTACTCTCAGCTTGGATGAGACCCTGAGAAATATAGCCAACTGACCTTGAGGGCTTTCACACTTCTCCCCCCCCAACCTACACCCTTGTTTGGGTCAGTGCTCTCCCCCCTTAGGAGGACAGAACCTATCATATCTGTGAAACATCTGTCACAAATGAATTTAAAAAAAAATCTAAAATCTGGGTACTTTTTCAGAGGAAGATGACAGGCTAGTTCACTTTGGCTGAATCACTAAGATGTTTGTATTCAAGGAGAAGACGGCTACTCTTTGAAATCTGGTCCTTTGCTCTAGATTTTGAAAAAGCCCCTCTGGGGGCGTAGCAGAACTGAGGGAAGAAGCCCCAGCGGTGAGGCAGGGGAAAGTGAGTCAGGCTGCAGTGTTCATGCTACAGATTTCAGCTGTGTAGAAGAGAACCAGCGCTCAGCTGCCTGCGAGGAGCCTGGCCAGGGTCCCCCAGCAAAACACAGACCTCCGCCTCCTGGTCCCAGGATGGAGGGAAGGAAGCAGAAGAGAAGGGGAGGAGGGGAAAAGGAAAAGGGAGGATGCAAAGAAAAAGAAATCAGACAAAACACCCTCCTCCTACTCCTCAAGGCATCACTATGAGATGTCAGAACCCTAATCAACACCAGCTCTAGGCCCCATCCTCCCGGCCCCAGCTGCCAAGAGAGCCAGGCCCTGCCAGCAGCAGCTCCTCCTCCTCTCTGTCATCAGCCAGTCTGGCCTGACACATTGAGCCCAGGCTGCTGAGTATTGTCCTAAAAGCAGAAAGAGAGAGGGTGGGGGTGAAAGGAGGAGAGAGAAAGAGAGAGGGAGGAAAAAAAAAATCACTCACTCAATCACATGACTTGACAGGATTTGTAACCAGTGCTTTTTGTGCCACAAAGAATTTTAAATACACACACTAAAGCCCCACCAAAAGGAAAGGAGCTAAGATGGGACAATAAGGAAGCCTTGCAAGGTAAGAGCCTGTTCAGAGAAAGGCTGTGACTTTCTAGGGTAGGGGGAGGTGTTCATTTCAGGCTACACCACTCTGCTAGCGGGTGGGGGGTTCGTGTGATTTCACATGGGTGGTTTGCCCAGGGTCATCGGCAGAGGAAAAGTGACTAACCACAGGAAGGAGATTGTTTTGGTGCTACCCTAATGCTTTATTTTCTAAGTTGTGCTTATCCTGTTTTTCTCCCCAGTAACGCTGCTGAGGAGTGTGTTAGTGTGTCTGTTCCTAACTGCTTGGAGAGGCAGCTGTGCAGACTTCATTTACTTAGCAGTATACAACGTATAACTACAACCTTTGCCCCAAATATATTGGCTTTGATGTTGCACTGGAGGAAATGGAGGGTGGGAGCTATGAAAAGCTAGGATTTGTAGGGGAAAACTACATCAGCTGTAGTGGGGTGGAAGGCAGGTTAATTTGGAAATAGAACAACTACAACTCTTTAGATATGGAAGATTTTTTAACAGCTTGGAGGAAGGGGAAACTGCATTAATTTTTGTGTGTTTGAAATAAATGACTTGTAAAAGGAAACAGCAGGTCTGGTTTTTTTTTTCTTTGAATTTTCGTTGTGTGGTATTTGTTGTGGCTTTTTGAAAAAAATCCCAAATGTAACCTGAGCTCTTCACCTCCCCCCCCCCCCAGAAAGGGGTTTGAAAAATGACTGTTTGTTGAAATGTATTATTGAAGGCAGGAGGAGGGATGTGGTGATGGGGGAATCTGTAGCGCTCACATTTCACATTCTTTTGCAACCTTCCCTTTTCTTTAAGTGTGTACGGATACTTACGCACACACACCACAGAGGTTTTCAGAAATGCAGGCCCCAGCACAGTTAACCCTTAGGAATTCATCTTTCTTCCCTGTGCCATTTGGTTTCAAAATGTGTTCAGCATCTTGCTCCCTAGTAGAGAAACAGAAAAGGGGAGGAATGGGGGAGGGAGACTATCTGTTTTGTAAGGGGCATAGGAAGAGAAGCAGTTTCTATCCAGTAAGAGGGAAAACTGGCTGTGAAAGCAAAGAGCTGCATGACATTTTCCCCCTTTCCTTGATATTTTCCATATGGTTCCTCTCCTCTTGCATGGATTCCTGTCAGTCGTGTGGCTACTGGATGTCTCTGCATTCAACAAACCTCCATTTGTTAGTTAACATTTTGTTATGAATGATCAACAATCAGTTAAAACTTAACAGTAAATATTTATATCTTTGTGTTGTGCTTTGCCTTTTTATTTCTGTTTTGCTCAACACAAATCAAAATTTCATGCTTTTCTGAATTCTGCAAAAGACTGCATGGTGACACTCTCTTTTTAAAGCTTAGTCCACATTAAAAACTGCCCCCTCTGAAGCCTGATCAATACCTAAAACTTTCAGGTCCACCTAATTATGTCACCCAGGACTGTGAAAAATCGTGTGCCTTTAGAATCATAGTTAGGTCAACCTAACCATTGGTGTAAACGCAGGATTCTTCTGTCAACCTAGAATAGATTTGCCTCTCGGGAAGGTGGTTACTTAAATTAGTGGTTTTCTACCTGTGGTCTGCAGACTATGTCTGAGGTTTCCAAAGGGTCTGCACCTCCATTTGAAATTTTTTAGGGATCTTACAGATGGAAAAGGCTTGAAAACCATTGATCTAAATAAAAGGAAACTCCCCTTTTTACTGTTGTAGGAAGCATTTATGTTCTGGTGCCACAGCAGCACAACTATAGCATAGACATACATACATACCCTGAGTCACATCACTGCTGGCTGTAGGCTGCCCTTCCCTTGCCCAGTGTGATTTTTGAAGTGGAGAACAAGTGGTGGGTGTGCATGTGTGACACGTTCCACTATGTTGCAGGTTTATGACTGGTCTCCCACTGGGAATGGGGATAGCAGAGTGGTGACCCACTGTGGTCTGAAAATACCTCTGCAGAACTTACTCAGGAAATTTTGTGAGAGCTTGTGGGGTTATGAGGAGTTTGTGGGTAGTAAGAGGGGACTCTAGGGAGGCAGGCTGGAGAGGACTGGCCTGTGGGCAATTTGTGAGTGCCAGTGAAGAATGAGGGCAGAGTTTGTAGTAGGGGTTAAAGAGCTTTATGGGAGTAAAGTGTGTGTGTGTGTGTGTGTGTGTGTGTGTGTGAGAGAGAGAGAGAGAGAGAGAGGGGTTATAGGAAGCGGGGGGGAGGGAGAGATGCTAAGTCTTGTAGAAAACGGTAAATGTTCTCTTCCAGCTCTTGCTCTCTCTGCATTAAATTAAAACCTTGTGCATGGTATAAAAATATCTTGCTCCTGGGCATCTTCCTTGACATACCAAGTAGTTACCTTTGCTGAGTCTTACCAAAAGAGCCCGATTATCCCAGCCCTAGCCAACTGGGAATGTTTCTGGGCTGCAGAAGCATTCCCTCTTCCCTGGGGGAGGTTACTTTGTCTATTGGAGTATTCCAGGCAGGAGAGAGACGGGGTCTGCATTCCCTTTTACTGGGAGATGCTGAACTGATCTGTGTGGGTTTTATCTCTTTTCTTTAAATAATAATCAATAAACAGAACCCATGAGATAGAAAGGGGAGAAGTTCCTTCCTCTACTCCCCACACCCTTTAAATGCAGGAAATAGTCCAAGCTGAATGGAAATGTTGTTCTGATGAGTGTGGTAGGTTGTTCCAGCAACAGGAGATTGCTCTCCTGCAAGGGGAAAGCAGTGGGGAAGAGGGGAAACCAAGGGCAACTGATACCTTCTTGTACTGTAACATCTCCCTGGAGATTTGGGGGAGCGCAAAATGGGAGGATATTTAGTTTTCACAATACCAAGTGTTCAAAGGACATAAGTCAGCTCTTCTCCCTGCTAAAATTCATGATTGGCTTAAAAATCATGACCCTTTAAACAAGAATGATTTTTGGAGTTGTTTTTGTCTTCTGGGTCAGGCTTTATGATGCCCATTTTCAAGCTTTTTCGCTGTAACTGGCTGGAGAAGTGTGTTGTTGTTGTTTGTTTAATGAAAGCTGAGATGCTCATGTAGCAAAACACCAACTATTGGAAGACTCAGGATACAATTGTGAGTGTTGGCAATCCTAAATTATGTTTCCCCTTTCTCTTCCTTTATGTTAGTTTCCTACACTCTCAGCCCTGCACTGAAGGGACTCTCTCCTTGGTGGAGAGGAGAATTCACTCTTCTCCAGGCAATTCTGTGTCTGCAGATTAGTACCAAATGTGATTGTGGCTTTTTGATGTGAGTAGTTATGTTGCCAGGGTCTGGACCAGGGGTGAACAAAAGGGCCTCTGTGGACCGAATCGGGCCTGCCAAGCGGGTTGATCCGGCCCGTGGAGGCCCGCCCTCCAGTTTTGGCCCCATCCCTTCTGGGGTGGCCCAGGGCCATTTCAAAAATTATTGCCCAGTCCTGGTCTGGACTGAGATACCTCTAGCTCACTTTACACAGGTCACAGTATACTGAAGAATCATGAGCATCTAATGACTATGACTGGTAATTTATCTTTGCAGAAAATGGAAGAAAAATCCTGGTTTATCCCAGGGTGTGGGAGCAGAGAACACACACAAGTAATATTTTCTGGTTTTTTTTTTTTTTGTAAAGGGGGGAGGGCTGCGCCCCCTACTTGCTGCGCTTGCCAAGCCCTCTGTCGTGGGGCGTAAGCAACTCTGGTTCTCCCTCTGGCTACTGGGGAGGGCCAGGCTGCAGCTGCCCCAGCCAGGGCCCCTTCCTCCTCCCGCCAGCCTGGGCCCCTCATTCCTCTATTCCTCTCCCAACTCGGGCCCCTTCTCCCTCCCTCCCCACCCCCAGCCCGGTATTTTCTCTCTTTCCCCTCTACCCACCACGGGGGTCCCGCTGCTGGCGCAACAGAGCAGCTGTTTTTAAAATACCAGCAACTGCCGCCATGTAGTGACTGTTGGAGCTTCAGCCAGATGCTGTGTGGCGACGCAGGAGGCCAGGGTGTATCCCAGTCCTGAACCCCCCTGTGGGTCTCACTGCTGCTTGCCACGCAGTTTTCCCATCCTTCCCCCACAAGCCCAGCAGCAGCTTTTACCTTCAAGGTGCAAGGAAAGTGAGTGCTGCTGTTGAGGAGTCAAAGAGCCATATTTAGGCTCGCGAGCCATAGGTTGCCAATTCCATTATGGGGTTAGCAGCAAGGAGAGAGAGAGAGAGAGGAGGCCGGGTGGCCGAGGGGGAAGGGGCTGTGGGACGCAGTGACATGATGACATCACGCTGTCGTCCCACAGGAAAAACTTTTTTATAGGTATAGTAAGATAAGAAAAGTCATGGCAGGCACCATTTTAATTCATATTAAAGCATGCCCTGGGAAAGTGAGTAATCAGATACAAGAAAAATGTTTAAAATCATTTATAAACTTAGTTCAGTGACTGCAAACTTGTAAAATAAAGAAGTCATAATAGAGTCTTCTCCAAAACTTCTCCAGTTGGGCTAACAAAGATTATGGGAGAGTCTCCTTCCTGCAGCCCTTTTTCTCTGTTCTGGTGATGTAAAGGGGCTTAAAACTCCTGGAACAGGCCCCTGGGAATTTTCTCTGTACAGAGAAAGCATGGCACTGATATAGGCAGCTTTTTGCATTCTTTCTGATACAGGGATGTGCTGGAGTAGATGTAGGCAGACCCTGACTATTCTAGGCTTCAGAGCAGCATTTAAGGATTTATACAAGGCTCCTCTTAGGTCACGTTTCCACTTGTGGGAAGATTGACTGCCACAGCATCAATCTTCCAGCATTCAATTTAGGGATGTAATAGTGTAGTCGATTAACCGATAAGCAAAAGCTTATAAGTTAATGCTATAGACTACACGCATTTCCCTCCTCTCCCCAACCAGTGCATTTTTAGCAGGCTGGCCAGCAGCCCTGCTCAGTTCTGGCTCACACCGGATCTGGGACCCACCTCCGCTGCAGCTCTAAATTTAAAGTGTATTAGGAGCCGGTGGGCAGGAAGCTTGACTCAGTTCGAGTTTGCACTGGGTCCAGGGGCTCAGACCTCCC